TATATCCCGTTAAAAACTGAGATTCACACTTGGGGACCTTCCCTCGTGAGACAATTATTGAAACATGGTTCATTCCTATTGATATATTCATAGTTATATGCACTAGTTTTGTCATTGTACTTGCGTTATTTTGCTTCGTCATTATCATTTATGATAAAACATGCCATACTATTTCAATGATGCTTGTTACCAATTCATATTTAACTGGATTTGTATTAGGAATCGAGACACTTTCGATGGGTTTATTTACATTACAAAACGATCTTAAACAAATTGAATATCAAGATTCTTTATGTATTATTCGAGGATATTTAAGTTATAGTTTATGTGCTGTAGAAAATTATTCTTTTTTAGCAGAAGCATTATATCGTTACATGATGGTAGTTTATCCGAATTATTTATTTTGGCAATCAGCACGAACACAATTACTATTTCTTTGTTCAACTTGGATATTTGCTTTAATATTTCCTGTTCCATTTATATTTACTGGTGGAATAATCTATAATGTTGATAATCAAATATGTCAATTACCATTTCAATGATCTATTTCTTTAGTTTTTGCAGCAACTTTTGTTTTTGCATTACCTATGTCCATGACAATATTTATTTATCTAAGATTAGTTCAGTATGTGAAAGAAATGAGTCGACGTGTAACGCTCACAAATAGTTTATCTCGGGCAAAACGAGAATTAAAAATGGTTCGTCGTTTAGTTATACTTGTCATTATTATATTTGCTGTCGCTTCTCCTTACGCATTATTTGTTCTCATATCATTTTTTACTGCTCCACCTAAATATCATTTTCGTATTGGTTATATATTTATTAATCTATCAGTAGCATCTGCAATGATTGCATTACTTCAGTTTACTGATCCACTTAAAGCATCTATAAAAAAAATTATATATGGTCGATTAAATACCGTTACACCAACAATGACATAAATGATTAAAGCTTAAGACATTGTATGAAATAATATCTCGAAAAATAAAAACATGAATATAATATATTTAAGTTATTTAAATACATTCACGAGATATAGTTTCGCATTTCTAAGATTGAAATGCAAAACTATTTCAAAAAATTTAAGATGATCTAGATTCTATCGCAAAATTTTTTCCTAGTACTCAAAGAATTCATCCCAAGTGCGAGAATATATAAAAGAAGTTAAGATCCAATGCATTTCTATTCGCAGTGGAGATTAATGGACAAAAATGTCCTGAAGTTGAAGACTCATGTAAAGGACTGGGTGGTGGAGATCTTTGCAAATCTTGTGGCTACAAAAGTGGAGAATGTGGTGGATTATTTTGGCAACTCTATCAGTGTTTTCGCAACAGGGCTGAAATGCTCTTTTGCGTGTTCTGAGCGAATAGCGTGACACATCTTGTCTGGACGATCCAGAAAAATATGATATCCTATGTAGAATCGATGGACATAAGAATGGACGTTGTATTGGCATTCGTTGTCAATGCTATTAAGTATGAATGAATTGGTTGCATCATTTTTTTCTTTTCACCTAATAAACTCGACGTTCATGTTAAATGACATTTTTGACGAATAACTACATCATTTATTTAAACTTACTTTTATTTTGCTTTTTCACATCTTGTATTAAATGAATAAATAGGATGTGCACGAAGATGAAGAAGCTCTCGAGAAATTTGAAAATGTGAATATAAATGCTCACGTTTTTTCTTCTTCTGAAAAATTCTACTTCATATATTTTTGTTGTTCGTTGATCTTTTACAACTTAAAATATAGAAAATATAAATCAGCAATTGATTTGTTATTTTTGTCGACTTCCATAGTTATATCGAAGTAAGATTTGCTATAAGTATGTACATTCATATTAATTAATGTCTTTAAATAAAAGTTGTATAAGCTGTTCTCGTGTACTTGAAGATTTTTTTTCTAACTACTTTTTGTAATGCCACTTACTGTGGAAACGAAACTTTTATTGAGTGTGCAAACAAGTATTTTTTTAATATCAAATAAAGATTAGCTATTAACATATTCACTCAAGGTCTGTTCACTTATCTGTACCTAAGATCTTGGCCAAGATTTTGCTTACGACATGTTTGACTAGATTTGAAGTACGATTTTGTTTTGGAAGACCAGCTCGACCAAATGGACAAAAAGATAGATTTGTGTATGGTTCAATAAATGTTGAAAATTTTACTTTTGCGTTTGAATAAATAATTTCATCGATAATAACTAAGGCATATGGATTTTGTTTGATAGTTTCATTTATATACATTGAGAAATTCTGTATTGTATATATTGTATACCATTGCGATAAGGAATGAAAGAAATTAGGTTTATATTCATTTGTTGCTAGATAAATTGAACCATTTGAGATACCGTAGGAATTTAACTTTTCTCTTATCCAAGATGGTCGTGTACAACTGTCAAGCTTATTCTGGAATCGAGATTTTTTCATTTGATCGCCTCGCCTAATATGAATTGCTATGTAAAAGTTTGGTTTGATTTTTGAAATCAATTTATGTGCTAGTTTAAGTAGATAAGTTGGCTGTTGATGACGATGAAAATTATCTTCTATGTGTTTCATAGAATATTTTGTTGAAAATTGCGGTGGATTATATGAGCATAATTCTTGCCAGCAGCAATATCGATACTTTTGAACAAGAGGAAGACTATCAAACGAACATATACCTGAATTATTCTGATTAATAGTGACGTCATCATATGAAACAATATCAAAATATGATGATAATAGTTTG